TTTCAAAACCTGTAAACTCACACTAGCAATAGCAAAGTGGAAGAATCCTACGGTGTGCAGACAAACAATATGAAAACTTACGTGACATGCGGCCCTCTTGCCAGACGGATCAGGTAGAGAGTGGCCCCTGTGATGCCCAGAGTCATGAAGAAAAATTGAGGGATTAACTGTGGAAAGGACAGTAGAGGAGAGGAGGGTTGCATTAGTCCCAGAGCACAGAGACAGAAGGTGGTAAACAAACACATTCCATCAAGTGGTTGGCTGTGATATGTACCATGAACATACGCCCGTGTGAAATACACACACATATACTGGTAGTTGTTATTCCTGTTTTTCCTCTCCCTGCCCTCCTCCATATGCATGAGACCCAGGCCATGTGTGAGGCAGCTCACTGTCAGCCTGGGTTGAACGGGCAAGGACGCAGTGGAAGAGAGAGCTGCCGCGTCTCTGTGTGCCAGCCTCTCCTCCTATAACGCTCTACCTGTCACAGTGAGCGACAGAAACACAAACACACACTGAGGCGGAGGCACACCTAACGCATACACTCACACAAATGTGCACAAAAATGAGCTTACACACCCAGTGGGTGCTCTCAGACGCACAGTCATGAATGTGTTTATGCAGACACATTTATCTGATATCCTGAGAGGTGATGATGATGGGATTTAAGAATTTAAAAAGTACATTAAGGGGAAGGGGGAGGAAATGTGATGTCATCCTAAACACCCAAAGCTTAGGTGTGACAATCCCTTCACCATGGCGCATCTATTTATCAACACTACATAGGCATAAATTTCCTAATATTACTGTGTGATACTGTGTATACAAGATGAAGAGGGAGAGTCACACCACTGGCGAACAGCTGTTCGCAGCCCACACAGATCTAGTCAAGCTGTAGAGAGATGACAGTTTGATCAGGTTGAACTGAAGGATGTCTCTGCTCAGCTGTATCTCGACATCTGTCTTCTGTCTGATTGCGTTGCCACTTGCCTTGTTGTTGATTAGGAGAAAGTCTGGTGATGATAAAACTTTGATATTTTCTACCTTAAAGCATAGACTATATGATAGATAGACTTGGGAAGTTATTGCAGAAGTGCCTTTAAAAGGGCTTTAGTTAGCAGGATTTGACAGTTCTGGTTTCAAAATGATGTGCAGTTGTATAAAAGTCTGAGAAAACGAATCCAGTGCTGACTCAATTTGTGATCTCAGTAAAGACTTTCATGGTTTCAGGTACTAGATTTAAGTTTTAAATCCAAATAGCAGTAGAATTGATACCAAAGCCAGCAGCCGGTATCGTATTGATATTTTCTTACTATCCTGCAAGTCCAGTATGTATCTCACAGAACTGTAAAAAATAAATCTTTTTGAAATGAAAAACTATACCTAGAGCAGGGCGATATGACCAAAAATATTTATCACGATACACATTTGAAAATTAGTGATAACGATATAACTGACGGTATAATTGACACAAGACAAAATACTTTACAACTCCACAACTTTATTAGTGCAAAAAAACCTTCACTTAAACAAGCAGCTGTTTTTTTTTTTGTGCATTAAAGTTATATAAAAATTTTACAGTGCAAATGCAAATTCCTTGCTGACAGTTTAACCAAAAGGCATTTCCAGTGGAAATTAGCCGACATATCCTCAGCATGACCATGTATAATATCCACAAAACTTAAAAAGAGGTTATACACACACAATACGGTAACATTATGTTGAAGCACAGTACGTATCACTCCGCGAGGCTCCTGCCTACGATAGCCGTTGTTGTGCCAAAAAGTGATTGTCTGCCAAAAACTGATTTCCAATGTTTCTGTGTATTTTTTCTGTGTAATATCTTTACGTATGTTCGTAAATACACTTCGGTGAACAGGGTTTACAAAGGGGTCATATAGAGAATTAAAAAATTATCCGTTTTTCAAGTATCTTTACAACTCTGTGTTATTGTACTTACATTATAACCAATCCGGTCCTTTATCCCCACTTAAAATATTTTTAC